CTCGTGTATCTCTCTGTATCAGTCTTTCTACTTGACGCAGACATAAATAAAGGTTGTTTCTTTATGAGGTCATCTTTCAGTATCAAGTAGATATGTAAAGTATGAATGTGTGGCTTTTGTGATGTTTCAGTGTTGTGTAATCAGAAAGAAAGGACAAGGAAACGAATGATGACTTTAGGTTTAGGCACGAGTCAAATCAAATGTGTCATTAGACTTATAAACAAACAATGTGTGGCTCTGGCCGTTTATGTGATTACGTAACGGATAATTGTGGGACATGTTAATGCAGCTGTAATAAATTGAGATTTAAACCCTATGCATAAACACTACAATTCTTTTAATCATACATACACATAGTGGTCTCTTCCAAATTTCATAAAGCAATGATAGACTCTAATCTGTCGAAACGTCAAACGAACCACAAGTGATAACAAAAAAGAATTTCACACTGCCTTACGAAACAAACTAGTTAATGTTCCAATGAAGGTAATACTCCCTCTGTTTGTAATTAGATGTTATTTAAAGTTTATGCACTCCAATCTAAAGATTATTTGAACTGTCTACAAACGTATGCCTCTAATTACACAAGATGTGATGATGATTAAGAGGAGTAGCCATCACGATCATCCATTCCATTTCCTCTAGATCCAAAACCTCGCATCTTACCTCTTCTTTCCAAGTTTACTAGTGGCAAAAAATGGATATCTATTATATAGCCATACTAGCTTATATTGCCTCGTAATGCTCTTTCCCAAATCCAATCCGAGTAAATGCTTCCCATGGACCTGGATCATCATGATTTGAGTCTTGCTCTGGATATAGCTCCAGCATCGGACCTGGATTGTCTATATAAAGCCTTTTTGAAAAATATATTAGCAAAAGCAAACAATTTTTTTGAAAATATTTTTCTTGATCAAACGTTTTAGAGAGAGAAAAATAGATTGGAAAACACATGGAATATATTTCAATACATATTTGGATTAGAAAAAGTCGGAGTTTCTACAAAGTTCTAGACATTTGTACTTTTTTTACACAGTAGACATTAGAAAAATGGAGGCATTTCGACGTATTTCGAAGCTCATCAACTACTTCCGAAACTTGTTACGGCTCTATCCGATATTGGATTCAACGAGAAAATTCATTTGCTTATAGTGACAGGGCAACCTAAACGCTTCAAGCTCAGGGATCTTGAATTCTTTAGCAATTTGGATCCAGATTCCATCTTACCCCACAAGATTGAATACAAGACTTTGCTCACAAACGACGAAGACTACTTCGTGAAACCGCAAATGGTAGATAATTACATCAACAGGCACCTATCTGGATTACATAAAAGATGGTACAAGCTGCGCAAAGTATATAGAAAGCTTCTACTCATTTCTGGTGACAAAGATTATGCTTGTAATATCAACAAGTTGAGGAATTTGGGAATGCTAATCCTCATAGCACATAACTACAATTCAGTTTCAAAGCCGTATGGTGCATTTGTAACTTGTGATTGGCGAAAACTACTGCTTCACAAAAGTGTTTGGTGGGAAAGGTTGGCTGAACAACGAAGMAACTTTAACTCCAAGAAGAAAGAGTACAAACGTAGAAGAAGAACGTAAGACTTCTCCTTAAATCTGTTTTCCTTTCTCTTAAATGTAGCGACTGGGCATGTAGTTAAAGTGTTTGCTTGCTTTGTTTTCTTACAGTGGGCATGTAGCGAGTGGTTCCCTTGGCTTATGCAACGGTAGAGCTTGTGTTTCTTATGCATATTCAAAGTTCTTTTCAATTTGGCTTTGAGCTTAAATGCACAGGAAGCATTTGAAAATTTGCATGATATTGCAGTCGAACAACAAGGTTATTTAGCACGAGAGTGGATCAAAGAACAAAAATGGGTAAAAGGAACCAATTTGTAAGTTATTCAATTGGAAATTGTAGGCTTTCTTTGATTTTTTTGGCTCTGTTGTGTAGGCTTTCTTTATATGGATATTTATTCAATTGATTTTTTGCTTTGTTGTGTTGTATAGCGAATATAATGTATACGAATTTCATGGGGCAGTACTTGGATTTGAT